AGGGAGTTGAGGAATGATTTACCTTGAGTTGAGAGACTCAGAGTCGCGCTTTCGGTGTGCCGGGAAGGCGGCGGTCAACTTGGATATGTTTTCTTGATCTCCACCGTTAGTGCTAGAAATAAAAAATGCATGAAAACATGTTAAGTTCACTCAGGGCACAACCTCAATGTCAAAAACAACGTTTATGAATGGGACAATGTTTTACAAGTTTCCAAGTTTTTATCGGCACTTAATATTATCCACAAGTTATTGTTTTTCGCGAATCTAAATCCCCAATCAATTCCACTAACTCATGCCAATGGTAAACCTCACTGCTAAGCGGGTGACCTAAGCAAATATGCAATTTAATGTTTTCAAACCTAGGTCGGGTTGGCGGTAAAATGAAGTACCTTTTTTCAGAGCGCAATGCTGATTGTGTTTCCAGCTAGCAGTTAGCTTAAGCCATGAGGGTACACCATCATAAGCGATACTGTTCAACAACCTTGTCTCAGTATCCTCCTCACTGCGTTGCATGATCGAGACGCTAGATCAATAGACTTCATTTTTACAAAACATTTTGGCTAGCTAGTCATAGGTGATCCTGTAAAAATTTTTGCACATCTTCGACGGTCATGGAGATCTTAAAGTGCCGAACAAACCTTAGAGTAAAAAACTATTTTGCACCGGGTGATAGCTAGTGAAAAGCCAAAATGAGAGTTATTTTCATAGTGTGATAAAGGAAGAGCAAGTTAAGTCTTCAAGACTTATTGTCCTTTGCTAGCAGAAACAAAAAAGCTTCTTTGTCTAGCTCTCACAACAGACCTTTCAGTTAATTTGATTTGAACCATTCCTTTCTTTCGCCAGCCAGAAACAAATATATTTATTGTCAGCGTCAAACAAGTAACCAGTTTAGGGAGAACCTTTCCAAATGTGGTGCACCTTTGAGTCGTTGGGGCCGCTTCTTAATAGTTTTGTCGGCCAAAATGACTACTCAAATTTAATGAAAATCCCTTGCGAACCTGAAATTGCGTTCAGATTCATGAAGCAACCATGCCCAAATTAAGTCACAGACAACCATTATTAGGTATGGATGGAGCTATACCATGATGGTAACGGAGGTCACAACAAAGAGCACCAGCGCTAACCTGATGTGCGGTTACGCTTCATGAAGCGTGTAAATAGAGCCAGGCTATGAATTACTATAGGTGTGGCGAACTACACAAGAAAAGGCACATAAACTCATGGGTCAACCTGGTGGACTTTGTACACGAAGCAACCCCTATTTAGTTGAATTAACTAAAATACGACGGCGCTGCCGTCATGAAAATGTAAGGATAGCGTGATTGTACCTTGAAAGTTGATCTGACAAGTAGTATGATCAAAACAGCAAAAAGTGATCGCCTTGGGTATTCCGTAAGTTTACGGAAGGCAGTGCGGAAAATAACAACACTGACAAGGGTATAATAGAGATTCGCAAAAATCGTAACTCACCCACAAGCCTCCAAATTCGGTCTACGCAAGATTTCGCCATCTTGGGACATAAAATCGCTAATCATCCCATTCGCATCCAAATCTCTTGATAAAAAAATCAAAACGATGTGCAACTCTAATGCATACTAGTATATCACTGCTCATATGCATAGCCGTCAGACCACACCAAAACGGCAGCAATTCTTAGCCTTACGTAATGGAAGTTACCAACTAAAGCAACCGATTCGACCACGAATGTCGTCAATTTTGCGTATTAACAATACGAAAGTAAGAAAAAGGACAATCATCGTGATAAATCAAGTGATCTAACCAATGCTGCGAGCTCTTTCACACACAACTGATGTCCCCAAGACAGATCATGTTTTTCAAGTTTCAAAATGGAACATCGACTACAACTAACTTAATCTCGCCCTCCATTGGTGGTGGTGAAGTCCGGCCATCAGTACGCTCGGTGTCTTCGCGATCAACGCCATGGATGACAGCCAACGAGACTCGAAGACGTTCAGCATAGCTTGTAGCTCTGGCAACACTGTTAGGATCTTTGGCAACAATCACACAATTTCGATGATCAGAGATTGTCTCCATGATGTAGCGAATCAAAAACGGTGAAGCACGCAAGTTATCCACTGGAACGTCAAAAAAGCCCTAAAACGTATGGCATTTAGTTAGCCTGTTAACCAATGAGATGCTATTAGGAAGAAAGGTTACAAGTCAAAGCATACTTGGATTTCCTTCGAATGTAAGTCAATCGTGATGACATGATCAATCCCAGTTGAGCAGATCAGTTGAGCAATAAGCTTACAAGTAATAGAGCCGCGTTTCCGCATTTTGTTTTGCTTGCAATAGGGAAGATATGGAACCACAAGGATGACCCGCCTAGCGCAGGCAGCCTTGCATGCGAAGGCCAAAATCAGGAGTTCCATTATATCATCGTTCACATGCAACGTACCCGTTTGAATGAGATAAACATCACGACCTTTACATCTCCGTTCGGTTCAAATGCTATAACTAACCTCTAACAGTTTCCTGAATCTCAACTTTTGTCTCTCTATTAGAATGCTTTGATGTAACAGATTTACATGGTTGAATGTTCAATTGCTTGCAGATGCGCTTAACGAGATCGGGATGGGAATTTCCAGTTAAAACGACGAGACCCTTCGATTCAGCCGTGAAACCACCCGAGGAAGTCGCCTTTGACGCCGCCCGTCCCCGAAACGGCATTACAGAGGAGAACAGATCTTAGCAAAGGTGACAGACAGGAAGCGTAAGAACTCCACCCAATCAGGTACCAGATAAGAAGTCGATGAATTGTGTGCTCTGGTAAAGCACAAATTTTCGCCCTTTAAACTTATCTTTTAAATCTTTCTCACTACTGCAAACTGTTTATTATTACAGCGCACTGACCGTTATTATGTCAATTGCTGAGTGCTGCGTTATTAAAAACGTGTTTTGCATCAACATATGCATACTACGTTTATATCTGCAATCATTTTCTTGCAAAGTCTTTAATTAGTTCACTCGTTTAAACAATCCAGGATGTCGGTGCTATGAACACCTTATGTGAAACGAGCTTATCCACTTAAAATGATGGCAACAACGACAAAATTGTGGCGCCTATGACTTCCTCTAGATAGGAGGAGGCATCATTTTGGGCAGATTACAGGTTTTCTAAGAGAAGGAGAAGAGATGGGGTCTTGGTATGACCCGAAGGCTGGACGACATGTACAAGGACAAAACTAATGCCTAAGTAACTGCCAGAAATCAGGTGGTTACATAAGCAATGTATTGCAAAACATTCGCGGAAATAAGTCTCAACAAAAGCATTACTAGTTCACGTTGTAAATCCATTAAGCGAAAAAGTGTGACGAATACTGTGGCACTCCTGGCATTAAATTTTTGCTAGCATTTTAAAAACCTGTTGCCGGCAATCGATACAGGAAATCAAACACAACGCCACTTATTGCACGAATCACACCCAACAACTATAGGGACCGCCAAATGATACAAAAGTTCTCAAGCATTCTTGTTTTTTATGGATTCATAAGTATTTAAGACGGGTTTTTGTTTCTTACTAAAATATTCTACTTTTTCATGAGCTTAAGTCTAATAGAAAGGGTTTGATTACCCTAAGACACTTCATTTGGTGTCGTTTGATCTCAGTCTGCATCTGACCTGCTCAACCGCTTCGGGCTAGAGCACATTTAAAGAATCATAATGTAAAGTCCCGAGCCCTCCCACCGGGTAGAAGAAAGCATTAGGTTGGGTAAATACATGTATTCTAGGAGGATAAGAAAAGATTGGTTCTTGGCTTGGCCCGAAGATCAGCCTGAGCCTAAAGAGCAAAACAAACACCAAAGTAACTTTCAAACATCAGGTTGTCACATAAACGAAGTATTACGCATACGTATTACATAGGCAGCTGCTCGTTGTCTCCTTATGTCCACCTACATTACTTTCGTTGATCCAATCACACCACGAACGCTGTGCGCCTTCTCACGATATTCGCCTTTTATTTTTTCCCACTACAGCTCTTGTGCTTTGACTAATTCATTGAATCTATGATACGGAACATAAGCATAAGGTAGAGGCTGGTATTGAAGTCAGAAGGCTGAAACACAAAGGAAGAAGTGAATAACGGGAAATGGATAATCGTCTGCTCGAATTCGCCAACGAGTTACGCGAAACTTGAGGTTGTGTTGGCTGTAGAGTAACGAGAGTTCTTTAGAGGTAAGGGAAGACATGCCATTTCATTAGAATATCTGCATATGCAGCTAAACTGAGGCCAACCGGTGGGGCTCGCAGACCTGCCCACCCAGGCAGACATTATCGTCGCTTGGGTAACCACAACCGAACCAGCAGGTAGACAAACAAATTGTTATATTGGTGCATAAAAATTTTAATAGGGACTGTTTTGTTGCATTGTCCTCGTAGTTGTGCATTGTTTTATTTGCCATAAGGTATTTGCTCGCCCAAATCATGCAGCTTTGCTCATGGAGCGCACTGTGGCATATAGCTCCTTTCCTAACTATTCAAACCTTTACTTTTCTTGTTGAGATACTTTCAAAGCACTATTATTAATTCGCATTTCGAACAACTCCCAGTTACTTCTAGAGTAATTAGACTGGGTAAAGGCAGGAAAAATCTGAGATGTCTGGCACCATTTCGCTGCTGGTGCAAATCGTCCCGTAAACAATGCGTGCAGTGAATCTCATTATGTGAAAAGTTCACACATAAGAGTAAATAACATTTTGATAGATAAATAGCCAGACGGATAGTGATTGACATTTGCTTCGCGTGGGAATTGAGGTCTCAGGTTCAGGAGTTCCATAAGTATGCGCCAAATATAAACCAACGAACTGTACTTCCATGCCCAGTCTTAATTCCTTAATTTATATGGCAACTGGAATAATGTGCGTATAAAAAGGATTGTAACAGCAACGAATGGTTACTGTGAGTTGCTCAATTACGCCTCACCAAGGTCTCATCAACGGGAATTAACGTTAGGCAGACAATAATGAAGATATCGGCTTAGTAAGGAAAAACCACCTTTCTATAAATTATTCCTTGTGGTAAGAGAGTTGCATGCACCTGTATTATTCTATCACTTATTGTACGATGGGACTATGTTTTCGCAATAAACAAATAATAATATATTCCACCCAGTAGTTGCGAAGGCAAAAATTTTGTGAAAAAAACGTGCACGAGTGGCTAACATTGCCTACGATAAATAGAGGTCAATGCGCTTTCCTGAGCTTCTCCAGTAGACAAATGTCGACATAGTACAATGGTGAAATATGCATTGCCAACATGCGTAGGAAAGGGGAACTACTGCCAAGTCACTGATTTCCATCCACGTGATGCAATTACTCTGCGTCCGAGACGCCAAGTGGTCCTCCACCAAAATCCATACTTGAACAAACGAGCAGCACTTCCTTTACACTCCTCTACCTCCCCTCCTCTGATCCTCGTCCCACCACTTCGCTTCGTCAACCTCACCCATCAGCCTTCATAATGTAGTCAGTGGTGTACAAAAGCACCCCCAAACCAATCCCCAGTGGCATCAAATCCGCCACTTGACACTCCTACAAGAGGTGGAGCTTCATCCTCTTCAGTAAGCGCACTGTGGCAAAGGGAGTGCGCTTTCCATCGCGTCCGACCATCTCCGGTCAACTCAATGGATCGGCTACTGACTGAATGGAGGATGGCAGCCGAAGTCGATTTGGGTTGACGCGGTTCCG